TGCCCCGAGCTGCCCCACAGCTGCCCCACATCTGCCCCGAGCTGCCCCACAGCTGCCCCACATCTGCCCCGAGCTGCCCCCAGCTGCCCTGAGCTGCCCCGAGCTGCCCCACAGCTGCCCCACAGCTGCCCCGAGATGCCCCACAGCTGCCCACAGCTGCCCACAGCTGCCCCGAGCTGCCCCGAGCTGCCCCACAGCTGCCACATCTGCCCACAGCTGCCCCGAGCTGCATGGGCTGCCCCTGGGGCAAGGCAGGGGGAGATTTGGGGCTGCCCCACAGCCACCCCTGCCCCACAGCTGCCCCACAGCCACCCCTGCCCCACAGCTGCCCCACAGCTGCCCCGAGCTGCCACATCTGCCCCACATCTGCCCCGAGCTGCCCCACAGCTGCCCCGAGCTGCCCCGAGATGCCCCACAGCTGCCCACAGCTGCCCCACATCTGCCCCACATCTGCCCCACATCTGCCCCACAGCTGCCAGCCCTGGGCACCGAATCCCTTGACTCGCACACACACACACACCCACACACACGGGTGGAGGAGCATCAGGAAAAAAAAAAAAAGAGATTAAAAAAAAAAAAAAAAATATATATATATATATATATTATAGATACAGTTTCTCCTTTTTTTGTTGTTGTTTTTCCCTTTTCAATTGCTTCTCAAAACAATAAATAAAACTCCTCGGGGGACATGCACGTCCTGTTTTGTTTCTACCTGTGCAGCAGCCGGGGGGAGGATGCAGAGCTGCCTGTGCGGTACAGATGGGCTGAGCGGGGACATCCAAGGAACCATCACACAGAGAAGCTGACGGGGGGGGGCATTTATGATTTTTTTTTCATTTTAGTGCATCATTTAAAGGGTCTATTCTATTTTACAGAAGTTTTTGCAGACAGCCCAGAGTTTGCTAACACCTACCTGCCTAACTGAGCTACGGGGAGCAAAGGACGGGGGAGAAGGAGGACCCGACCCGGAGGAGGGAGCAGCAGCTGGGCCACCACGATCCCAACTTCTCCAGCATCACATTTGCCACAAATGCTTGGAAAGAGCCGTGGGGAGGAGGGGAGCCATGGCCCAGGGTGGGGCTGCTTCACCCCTCGGCCTTGGAGCCCACGGGGACGTCCCGGGAGAGCGTCCGGGGATGCTCCTGTGGCTCTGCGGGGGCTTCATGCCCGGAGAATGAGGAGCTGGGCCAGGCTCAGCATGAAAATCTCACTCTGAGCACCCATCTAAGTGAAGAAAATCCCTCTGCGCCCCCAGCACGATGCTGGGGCTCCCCGTGGCCCGGGGTGGGTGCGGGGGCTGGGGGGAGACACAGCCACGGGGACACGGGCTGGGGATATTGTCAGTCCCTCCTTTCCCAAAAACCTTCCCAGCCTGAAGGATATTGTCAATCCCTCCTTTCCCAAAAACCTTCCCAGCCTGAGGGATATTGTCAATCCCTTCTTTCCCAAAAACCTTCCCAGCCTGAAGGATACTGTCAATCCCTCCTTTCCCAAAAACCTTCCCAGCCTGAGGGATATTGTCAATCCCTCCTTTCCCCAAAAACCTTCCCAGCTGAGCGATATTTTCAATCCCTCCGTTCCCCTTCCCAGCCTGTTTGGTCTCGGCGCAGCCTGAGCCACACCACCCTCTTCTGGCTTAAGCAAAGCACATTCCGAACAGGCTCGGGAGAAGAAACTGGGAAGGCACTGGGGGATTTCCCCTGGCTCGGGAGGGGAACCGCAGCGACCCCGCTCGCTGCCCCGAGCTGCCCGACTCCCCCCGGAGCGCAGCAGGGACCGGAGCATCCCTGCACAGCGGGACCTCCCGTGCCAAGGCTCACTAGGGCACCCCTGGGTGCTGCTGGCCGCCCCG